TCTCCTTAGCTCTGCCAATTCTGATGGAGACATTCGATAAGGAGCCTGTGCAGAGATTTTTGCCCCTAGTATTAACTCTATGGCATGGTCAATCTCCCGTCTTGGCGGTAACCTTGCTGGCAATTCTTTAGGTGCCACATCCTTGAACTCAACCAGCAACTGTTGTACTGATTCAGGGACTTGAAATGCTTTGGACTCCTCTTCCTCAAATAGAACAGCCAAGTATGTTGCCTCTCCTTTTCGCAAGCCATCTTTTACTTGTAAGGCAGACAACATTTCCCCGAAGACTTGACTTTGGTGAGGGGAACAAAACAAGGATTGGGCATGTCCATCACGAACATCCCATTTAAATGCGGCATAACAGACACCATTGCCTTTGTAAGGAATTGCAGTCCAAGGATTACCTAGAAATCATCGAGAGGGACTGCCATAAAATCACATGTTCCTTGCCAATCACCCACTTTTAGAGGGACTTTTTTTGCGACGCCGCCTACTGGTTTTGCTTCTGAATTAATAGCCTTAATCTGGCTAGAGTCTTTCACTAAAGCCAGACCAAGCCGCTGTACTTCCTGATCAGAAACAAAATTATGGGTTGCACCTGTATCGACCATTGCTTGGACAGTCACATTGTTCAGGCGAATCTGCACAAACATCAACCCCCTCTTTGTCACTGTCTCCTCTTTGCGAATTGCATTAAGAAGTTGTAATGGGTTGACTCGTGTTGGTTCGTCAGAACAATCAGTTTCCTCAGCCATGAGGGCACTGAGCTTTTCCATCTTGGGGCAATTTCTGGCACGATGAGGGCCATTACAGATAAAACATCCTGAGTCAACACCTCCCTTTGATAAAGAGACTTTGTCAGTCTGTTTTTCTAAATTGCCAAACTTCTCAGTCTTTTTCTTCTGCTTATCCTTCTTAGCAAACTTGGATTTCCCTTTCGACTCCTTCTCCAGAGGATTAGCCTGCGTTTTGTAATCAACCAGCGCGTCTGCTGCGAACATAGCAGCGGGTAAATCTTTCACCCCTTGCCGACGAAGTTCTGCCTGTGCCCAAGTTTGGAGGCCAGACATAAAGTTGAACAATTTGTCTTCCTCTGACATATTTTTAATGTCAAGCATCAGAGACGAGAATTGTTTCACGTACTCTCTCACGGTGCTTGTATGTCGAAGTTTCCTCAATGCATCACGTGCTTGCCAAGCCGTGTTGCTGGGAAGAAATTGCTCCTTCATTTCAGCGGACAGAGACTCCCAAGTAGTAATTGAAAGACGAGATTTGTCCTCAGAACGTGTTCGCCACCATAATTTAGCATCACCGGACAGGTTCATGCTAGTGAGATCTACCTTCTCAGCATCCAGAATACGGACTGCTTTGAAGTAATGTCCCATATCCCACAGAAAATTCTCGAGTTCTTTAGCATTTCGACTGCCTGTGAAAGGCTTAGGGTCAGACACTTTAGCTTTCTGAGTGCTTTCACTGCCAGAAGCCACGGGGGCATTCTGCAATGCCCTCTTAAGCACTGAAACGTCGGTCTTGAGGGAACTCAATTTTTCCCCCATATCATCGGTCCATGTGGAGATCGTAGCCAACACGTCAACGACTTCGTTTTTCACTCAACTGAAGTGATCAGATTCAGTCTTTTGAAGTTGTTCCTGTGCAACACGCATCTCTTTGAACCGCTGATATAGCAACTCAATCTGCACAGAGAGAGCTACAGCATCACCAGACTGTGGAGGACCAACCAGCTCCTCCAACCGTGCCACCTTTTCCCTTAGATCAGCATTCGTTCCGCCAACCATAATTGATCTGTTGTCAAAACCACGCTCTGATACCAAACTGTCACAAGGTAACTTTTATTTTTCTTTTGAGGCTACCTGTGAAAGCGTTGCTATTACAACCAGCCACACTCAACTCAAGAATAAGGGACAGAAACTCATACAGAAGGCACACGCGAATCTACTGAGACAACACTCCCAAACCTTATATATTGAACTCAACAATTTACAAGAACTCTCAACAGCTAGAACACTTTCCCCCTTCCAGAATGCTCAAGCACCTCTATTTATACAAGAGGAAGGCAGATGACACCCCCATCTGCCAAGGGGTAGTTACCCACGTTTTTGTTATTCCATAGCATACTGGACTAGTAGACTTGGTCTCTGTGCAACACCTGGCAGGCAGTTCCACCTCTTCAAGTAACTGCTGTGGAACTGCCCCTTCATCAGCATGCATCTAGACTGGATTCAGACTGGGGACATCCAGAACTGCCTCAGCAACTGCCTTGATTGAGTCTCAGCATCATAACTGCCCAAATCCTCCTGGTCACATGCATTGAGCAGTCATGTGCCAATCAGGTGTCCACATTCAGCAGTCATGTGCCCACATTCACCAGTCAACCTTGCTACACGAACCAATGTGCATGCTGGGTTCAACCCATGCCATGCAATCCGAAGCTTTGCACCCACATTGCTTCAATTGAGCCCACCCATGCTGTCATACTCAACCGAGTGGTCTCATGCTGCATTGGTTCGCCCCAATCTGTCGAACCACTTAGCCGCGTCACCCTGACTCCAATTTCTGGCATGCCTTGGTGCAAGGTGCCACTAAGACTGACCATTTGCACCCAAGTCAATTAGGGTGTGATAATTAGTAACATTCATTCATTGGGAGATCGAGTCTTCAAGGCTGCAATCTATTTGATAGAGATTTTTCGAAAGATTTCAGTAGCCTACCCTCGCTAAAGGTGATAGACCTGCGCAGAAATCCCACTTGCGGCCTACCAGAATGCGTCAAAGGTCTTGACAGTCTACATAAGCTACACGTACATTCCTATACAAGCCTGAAAACTCTTATGGGGCTGCCCCATATAGAACGGATCTTTGGTAATTCCAATTGCAGATCATTGGAAAAAATAACATATGCATCATCTTTGGCCTCCAAACCAGCTTTCAACTTTGATAATTTTGCGAGTCCGCCAGAAGTGAATCGACATTTTACGTTAGCATCGCAGAAATTATCAACGACTTGGGGTTGTCTAATATAAAATCTATCCAAAGCACTTAGGTTTCCTTGTTCAATTCACTCACGTCAGGAAAAAAAAAAAAAGCTCCCCATCCAGGTGCTCTCTCTTATACATTTGTTATTTCCCCGGTTATGCTTAAGGCGTTTTATATATTACCCATATGCAATTTGACCAAGTAGCCTATTGCCCCCTTATAGTTTAAAATTCTGCAAATAATACCGTCTAATTTTGGAAAAAATTACAACCGTGAGGAGTTCCTTTAAAATTAAGGGTCAAAATTCAACATTTTTAGTAAAAAAAGGTGTTAAAATGATTTTATAGTCATATGAGTATTATATTTCTTACTTTTTCTCTCTAAAATAAACCAATTTTACCTTCTCTCTCTTCATTGCCTTTGCATTAAGTAGATCTTTCAATTTTCATGAAATTTTTAGGAATAAAAAACGCTAAGAAAATTAGAAAGTATAGTGTTGTTGGTTGAACCACATAGAGATAATCTATAGTTTGTCCTAGTTAAAATAGAAATTTTCATGGCACTGGGACTGTTCCAAGTCAGAATATTCAGCATATTTCTTCCTAGGAGTAAAGTTTTGCGCTGCTTCAACAATTCGAGTGTGTGGTCTACAGTATATTTTACAATCCCTTTAGATCAAAATTGTAGAATCACATGATGAACATGGGTTGTGTGTATGGGATCACTGAAGAAAATTTTTCAGGTAAATTATCTATTGAAATTGAAGTTAATAATGGGTGGAAGAATGTGGTAAACTACTGGCCAACATCCTTTGGAGTTCCAGAAAATATATGACGTGATTAAGTCATTGAAAGTTGAATGAGTTTGTTGCACCTAGTGATGAACTGAATCATTGGATTTTAATGAATGGTTTTGAGGTAAAGGAGTTTGAAATCAACCTTGTACATGATGAACAGAAAAAGAAGGATGTCCAATCAAACAACAAAGATATACTTAGACCTACATTGGCACATAGGAACACCAAAATTGACCGCCACTTTGGTTCCTATGCACTTATTGGGCAATGGAGGTGAGCCATGTGCTGTGATTGACAAGGGAAGAAAAAGCAAGATGAATTAAAATTTTTCCCTTCTTTTATTTCCTTTTTCTCCCTCCCAGACACTATGTATTAATCTTCCAAAACTTCATGAAGATCAGACTTTTTTTGTTGCTTGATCTCCTGGCAAAAGACTATTCTGTGTTTCTTCTCTTGCTGCTTCTTTTGCACTGTACGTGCAATGTTTTAGTTTATCAAAAAACGTAATGCTATCTAATATTCTTTTTTTTTGATTGAATTGAATCCATTTTTCCCTCTGCGTTTTTGGGGAGATCCCCTCGGGTGATTTCTTTTTCCATTTTTTTTCTGCGGAATGATTTGGTAACTTACCTTGTTGCGTCCCTTTTCCCAGAAAAACAACAAAAACGAATACATAAATACATATACACACCACTGGATAACGTTATTGGTATAAACCACAGGGCATAGAAGGGCAGCCAGCCAATAAAGAGAACCCAATACTAAGAAAACCACTAAACAATATATAAAAATCCGACTATTTCACATCAAATACAATCAAGCAACAAAGCATAAAACCAACTATACTATATAAAACCAACAAGAAAATGATAGTCAGACACTTATGTACCCACTACTGCATCATATCATATTAATAAAGCACATACTTTAAGCACTTAAGTACCTTCTATTTGTGCCATCCCACGAACCAATTCGCCAGCCACCACCATCAGTTCTTCATATCTTGCTTATCGAGCTTCATAATCGATTGGCCTTGTCAATGGCATCCTGAGCAGCAGTCTTGAAATAAAAAACTCGGTTATACTTATCAGAGTACCGATGGATTGAACAAAAAGATCTGTCCACATCGGAACTTCACTCCAGGAGTCTAATCCATTTCATGCTTTGATCATCAACAATTACGTTATTGTTTTCTTCAATTATCGAATCGACTATGGATTGCTTCGAACAGTAGTCTTTGTAGCATTTAGCACGAAGAATCGGAAAGTTGTCTCCGACATCGCCACTGCAACAGTCTCTTCAACCAATTTTGTGTCTGGTTGTTGCTCCATTTTATTTCCACTATCATCCTTGAGCCCAAATAAATTTGAATTTGAATTTGAATCTAACGAAGAGCTGAAAACCATCGAAATTAAAACCTCAATCCACCAAACAAATCAAAACAATAAAGATATCCAATTCACCTAGAGCGGAAAACCCTAAATAATCATCACAGGATGGACATGATAAAAGACGGAGAAGGAAATTACAGAGGTGAAGGAGAGTTGTGGGGATGTGGTCAATGGTGAAGTGGGTCCTGTGGAAGATGAAGAGCTCATACTGAGACTGGATTGGTGGGTTAAGGGGCTGTTTAAGCCTGTGGTGGCGGGCCACGGTCCAGTCTTTATTGTGTTCGTCATTTGGGTCACAGACCGGCCATGACTGTGTTCACGGCCTGTGGCTCAGCCCAAACCTGTTCTTTCTTCTTAATGTTAATCAACATCTCTGCTCTAAGAATTTATTAACAATGGAAGATGACTTTAAGGGCGTTCCTAAGACTTTATAAATAGACTTTTGATGGTCCTTTTCACGAGTCCTAATTTTGTGCTCAAGGTGTTTTTCAATCCCATAGATTTTCACATCTTTATGAACCTTTCCAATGAGCCCACCAGCAAGATGGTGGAGATCCAGCTGAAGTTCATCGAGGACCTTTGACACAAACAGCAAACAATTGATCCTCTTCTGCTGAACGAGTGTGATGCTCACTTCACCATCAATGATACGGACATCAACCTCGGCATTCTTGGACTTCCTCTGAAGCCATCAACTCCTTAATGATGATCCATTGTAGGCCTGGTCTTAATCACCAAGAGGTGTCATGCTAATACACTTGAGATAGTTGTGAATGAAAAGGGATGCAAACTAAGTGTAGAACCCCCGTATATATAGTCAATGAGAGTTACCATAAGGACAAAAAAGGTAAACAAGAAAACTAATAAAACCCTAATAAACTAGGCTGCTTCTATATCTCCAACACTCCCCCTCAAGTTAGGCGCAAAAAATGTCAACTAAGCCAAGCTTGACAACGGAGTCCCGAAGAATAGATAGAGTGACAGGTTTGGTAAAAACATCCGCAACCTGATCACTGGTCCCCACAAATGATGGAGTGACAATACCACTGTTAACCTTCTCCCGAAGAAAGTGAACATCAATCTCTATATGCTTCGTCCTCTCATGTAGTACAGAATCAGAAGCGAGCTGAATAGCAGATCGATTATCACAATATAATGTGGAAGGAGAGGTCACTGAAAAACCCAACTCGCCAAGAATCGATCGTAGCCAAATAATCTCACACGTGCCAAGTGCCTGTGCCCGATACTCTACCTCTGCTAACGAGCGGGAGACAACTGTCTGCTTCTTGCTCTTCCAAGAGATAAGATGAGTCCCTCGAAAAGCACAGAAGCCCGTAGTAGATCGACCATCACATGCTCCCCCATAATCTGAATCTGAATAACAGGCTAGAGAACCGGTCTGAGATCCTGATACATAAAACAACCCAAGTCCAGGACAAGACTTGAGGTACCGAAGAATATGATAAACTGCATCAAGATGAGGCTGACATGGCTTGTGCATGAACTGACTAACTCAGCTGACTGCGAATGAAATGTCCGGTCTAGTATTGGCCAAGTAGATAAGTCTACCTACCAATCTTTGATAAACTGTCGGATCTTTCAACTCCTCACCTTCAGCAGTAAGCTTCAGGTTTGGAATCATGGGTGATGATGCCGGTTTGCACCCCAACATCCCAGTGTCTGAAAGAAGATCCAAAACATACTTTCTTTGAGAAAGAACAACACCCCTGCCGCTACGGGCAACCTCAATCCCAAGAAAGTATCGTAGAAATCCAAGATCCTTCACATCGAAAGCATTTCCAAGGTCTATCTTGACTTGCGCAGTCCCAGAAACATCATCACCAGTAATAATAATATCATCAACATATACCAGAAGAATGACACACTGTCCAGAAGTATTCCGTCGAATAAAGCAGGTATGATCAGAATGACACCTGGTGAACCCCAATCGTACGACTACATCACTAAAGCGAGAAAACTAGGCTCGTGGCGACTGTTTCAGTCCATAAAGAGACTTACGCAGTCGACATACCTTTCCAGCATACTCCCCCTCACCACGAAAGCCCGGTGGTGCATCCATATAAATAATCTCGTCCAGATCACCATGAAGAAATGCATTCTTCACATCTAATTGATGAAGAGGCCAAGAGTACTCCGCAGCCAAAGAAATAATCAACCGAACAGTAGTCAATTTTGCCACAGGGGCAAATGTAGCACCAAAATCATGACTTGGTACCTGAATAAAGCCCTTCGCCACAAGTCTAGCCTTGTGACGATCAATAGTACCATCCGCAAGAAATTTCAGGGTGTAAACCCAGCGACAGCCAACAGGCTTCACCCCTGAAGGTAAGGAGACAAGATCCCATGTATGATTACGCTGAAGAGCGTCCATCTCTGTCTCCATGGCAAGAACCCATTGGGGCTCCCGCATAGCCTCCAAAATAGAGCGAGGAACCGACGTATCTGATAAGGCCATAGTATAAGCTCGATATGTGGGAGACAGATCACCATAAGAAACATAAGCCGAGATCGGATATAAAATCCTGGCGGTCCAACCATAACGATCAACTGGACAACGATCACGCCGCAGATAATGACGCCCTAAATCATACTCCTCCACTGATAATGTCTCATCAGGTAAATGAACTGGCTCAACACCTGCAATCTCATCAGTACTAACAACAGGTGCATCAATATGCTTAACAAACTGAGAAGTATTACCTGCATCGCCTGAGGTAGAGGGGACATCAGTAGGGTGATGAGAGCGAAGGCGACGAACATACTCTGTACTGACAGAGATGAGTGACTCTGAAGGAGGAGAAACAGATAACCCTGTAGGGATAATGACCAATGACTCTGACTCCTGTGGTAATGGAAAATCAAAGGGAGTATCCTCAACTGGAGGGGCAGACACAGGACTGGGAGAAAAATAAGGAAGATGCTCAAGAAAGGTAACATCTAGACTGTGATACATACGGCGCCTTATAGGATCATAACACCGATACCCCTTAGATTGATGACAATAGCCCACAAAGATACAACGAATCGCTTTATCATCAAGTTTATGACGAGTAGGAGACCGATCCTGAATAAAACATATGCATCCAAAAACACGAGGAGGGACCGAAAAAAGTGTCTGCTCAGGAAATAAAACCTGTAAGGGAGGCTTATGCTGAAGAACACGACTCGGCGTACGATTGCACAAAAAGGTAGAAGTCAAACAGTAGGGTTCTCAAGTCCCTCAGTAGTAGTCATATCAACAACAATATTAGGGCACCCGTGACAGAAAAACAACTCTAAGATAAATAGAGGAATAAAATAAAGGAGAACAATATACCTTCAGTCGAACAATAACGACAAATAAAGAAGGTCCAAAAAACTCTCAAATAATCAGGTCACGGTGCCCAGAAATCCAAAATATATAAATAAGTGATCTACTGCATCAAGAGAAAATCAACAACCCCTCATAAAAAATCCTAGATACAACAGTGGGTTGGGTTTATTGGTTTTAATATGTCTGTGGGATGTATGTTGTTTCGGCTGGTATATGTTGTTTCGGCTGGTGTATGTTGTTTCGGCTGGGCTGTTTTGGGTTGGTTTGATGTATGTCGGTTGTCGGTGGAGTTTGATGTAGAATGGGCAGTCGGTGAACGATCAGTTGAGCAATGGGTTCAGTTGGACAGTGGGTTTCGCTTCAGTTGGACTGATTGTGTTGTCGGTGCTCGGTGCTTTATGGTGGTCGGTGGCTGGTCGGTGATGTTGATGTTGTTGGTTTGTGGTATGCTAATCAGTGATCAGGTTGGACTGACTGCTAATCGGTGCTCGGTGCTTTATGCAGGTCGGTGGCTGGTCGGTGATTTCTCTGCTTGGGGGAGATGTGGCTGCTGGAAGTTAGGGTTAGGGTTAGTGTTTTAAGTTTGGCTCTGATACCAACTTGAGATAGTTGTGAATGAAAAGGGATACAAACTAAGTGTAGAGCCCCCGTATATATAGTCAATGAGAGTTGCCATAAGGACAAAAAAGGTAAAAAGGAAAACTAATAAAACCCTAATAAACTAGGCTGCTTCTATATCTTCAACAAATACTATTTCCATCCCCTGCATCATCTTCTGTTTTGTGCCTCTTGATCCTCTCTGTCGCACGTCGCTTGTCCACCAGAATCTTAAGTTCATTAGCTGTTCTAAGAAGCTCTTTGATATATATTCTATAGCATCTCCCATATTGATGCTCTATCATTCTTGTATGCTCCCCCAAACAAAAAATTTGAAAAATGTCAAACAAGGAAAATTCGCTGATGAAAGCTTATGCATGTTGAGGCAGTTAATTTAATCGAATTGTGAGGTAATCTATAGAAGCAGAAAAGAAAATTGGAATAGACAGCAGAGTGGAATGTGGAAATTGCTAACAAGAAAAAAGGCAAATCAAGCAGTATAGTTTCATCAAAATGCAAGTTAAAGAGTTGTTAGTAGAAATTGTTTCTTTCTATATCGTTTATAACACGCAGAGAGAGAGAGAGAGAGAGACAGAGAGGGAGACCTTGGTGGGGTTGGGAAGCAAATTCTCAAAAGCCTTGTACTTGTGATTTAAGTTCTCTCTCCATTGCCTCTCAATAGTAAAGTGTTCATATCCTAGCCAGCCTTCCCTTTCATGTCCCCAGAGAAATTCAAAACACCAACTGTCAACGTGCCTCCCCTTCCCACCTGATACACACCTCCACTTCCCGCTCTCTCATCCACTCCATTAAGCGTTAATGGAGAGAGAGAGAGAGAGAGAGAGAGAGAGCATGGGATTTTGCATGTAAAGGTAGGTTGTTTGGGTGGCATTGGTGGGCCTAAAACTGAGTATGTTTATTACTGCATATATGAATTGCTTTTTGCCACAGCAGCGAAGTTTGTTACCGGAGGCTCTGCCCATTGGCAACTCATGATCTCCGTAGTCTGATGGCTGCTGCATTTGTGATTTGATTTGAGTCTTTGACCCATTACTCTCACTCGACCAATTCTCTCTCCCCCAAAACATACTAGTATTTAGTCATACTTTAAGAGTTCAAGAGGAATAAAGTTCAAGTGACCAATGCACATGATTGCACATGACTATATAAATTCGAGATTTGCGTTACAGTTATGATTGTATTTTATCAGTAGGGTTTTGGGCTGAAACTTCTCTACAACGTTGGATGTCCATTGTATGTTTACAGCCAACTAAAAAATCCCAATTTCTTGTGTTTATGTATGTGGTAGTTTCCATTACTTGCCATATTTGACAATTAGTTGCTTACTTTTCTATTTGCAAAGGTAGTCTAATGACATT